TTTGGTTAGTTTCAGTTTGATCAATTTCATTTACCCCAAACACTTTGAGAGGCTATGTGTGAATCTTTGTGAGGTATTGAGTCATATTTCATTGAAGTTGGCAGTTAATCAGGATGTCTTGCTTGCTTTAAATTTTCTTAGTTGTATCTTAGCTTGATTGTACATTGAATTCGACAATTTTCATGGACTTAGTTCAATTGGAAGTTTGAGGAATAACATGAGTTTGAAGATGACAACTTATGATTTTGATGCATTAATTGATGAATGCTTGAGGATAAGCATTGAATGTGAGGGGAATTTGATAAATGCTTTATTTAGTTATTATTTTGCTTTTAAATTATTCCGTTATCATTGGTTTTTGTGGCTTATTTGTTCGTTTTGATTCATTTTCTATGTATGACGCTAGATTATGAAAATTGCACTAAAAGGACAGAATTCTACAGTTTTTTTTTAATCAAAGTTGGATTAGTGGGCATAACTTTGGGCATGAAACATCTGACGAGGCGATGACGTTAGCACCTTCTGGAAGGTCCAATCAGTGCTTCTAGAAGAACGAATGGATCAGTTGTACATCTCTGCAATTCAGATTTGAATTAAACTCATGTTTTAGGATATTATTTTAAATATTATATTATGTTTTATCTTATCTTTGTTTTAGGTATTTCAGTTTGAATAGTTTTAAGTATTTTAATTAGGATTTTCTTCTTTAATTTATGATTTATCTTTACCTCATTTTTAGGATTTTGAAGGCTATAAATACCCTCTCAAGGTAAGACTAGAAACATATCTCTCAACAACTGAGAATTTACTCTTCTTCTTCTCTATAGTTTTATAAAATTCTCTCTTTTATTTCCTTTCAAGTTTTCAAAATTTTTATTTCATTTTAAAGTTTTGTTTTCAAATATGCTAAGTATGACTTTGGTCATGCTTAGCTAATTTTCTTTTAAGCCGAAGGCTAAAACGAAGAATTAATTCCAGACGTGAGAATTGTAAGGAACTTAAATCGCTTCAGATTTTTTTTTCTCAGTTTTATGGGCTTATTTTCAAATCAAGATTTTCAAAATAAAAGTTGGCGTTAGCCTGGATGTTGTTATGGTTAACGTGGGAAGAATGGTCGACTTATTGAAGCACATTCGACTTCATGTGAACACACTTAGAAAAATTGTTTGCTAAGAGAAAACTGAGATCGGAATCAATTATTGTTGAAACAACATAATCAGAGTCGGCAGCTTTTTGAACTTCAACGTTGTAAGATCTACAACATTGTTGTTGCTTAGATCAACTCACAAACCGAAATTAAAGAGTGCACTTGGATATTTGGTATACAAAGCATAGTCGCAAGGATTTGTCCTTGTAGACAAGTAGCCGACGTGAATATTGAAGTAAAAATCTATTTCTATGATCTGAGGAGTTCGACGCAAGTTGAAGCCAGAGGCTGTTTTTACCATAAGTTTTCTTTATCTCAATTTATTTATTTATTTGTTTATTTAATCTTTATCTCATTTTAATTCTTTAAACAATTTAAAAACTCCCCCATTTTATCCTTATCCTTATCTTAAAGTTATGATTTATTTATTTTATTATTTTATCCTTATCTTCCATTTTAAATGATTTTTATTTAATTATTTATTTAATTATTTTATTCTTATCTTTATCTTTATCGGAAATCCTATCTTCTTTTAAATCAAAAAGTCCACTAAATCAGAAACACCAGAGTCCTGTGGATCAACTCTTCTTATCTATACTACAATCACTTTTTACTTATTATGAATTTAGAATTATTTTGATAGCAAAACGACAGTTATCAGTGCCTGACATGTAATTATTACCTATCAGGGTGATATTTTAGTAAAATTACCAAAGACTCTATCAATTTCGTTTTAATTATTAATAGGATTGATATAAAAAATAAGTGTCTAAACTATATAATTTTTTGAGTAAATTATACATTTAGTACATAAACTATATGTTTTGATCTGTTTTAGTACCTAAACTTTTAATTTTTTAAAACCATACATAAAATTTAGTTTTTGTTTCATTTTAGTACCTCACTGTTAAGTTTTACAAAAAAAATGAAAGTCTAGATACTAAAACACGTTTAGTACCTAAATCATAATTAAGTTTTGAAAAAATAAAAAAATTAGTAAAACGGATTAAAACTGATAATTTATGTACTAAACACGTTAAATTTTTAATGGTGTGGTACTAAAATGAAACAAAAAGTAACCTTTAGGTATGATTTTGATAAAATCGAAAGTTTAAGTACCAAAACTGATAGTTTAGGTACAAAATACGTAATTTACCCATTTTGGTGCCTAAATTATTTTTGGTCAATCCATGTAACTAACATTACAAATGATACCATTTTAAGTCTTTATAAATCATTCAAGCATTTAAGCATTTAGTGGGTTGGTGGGTGGGAGGGAGGGAGGGGGACGACCACAGTGGGGAAGGGGAATATTTTTTAATTTCTTTTTAAAAAAATAAAAATTTTAAAATTATATAAATGTGATACATGTCATTTAATGAAAAATTTTAATTGTCGTTACGATCGAGACACTTAAAATAATAACATTTGTAACGTTAAACACTTGGATTGACTGAAAAATAATTTAACCACCTAAATAATAAAAAAATATAGTTTGGGTACTTATTTTTTATATTAAGCTTTACTAATATCTATTCTCAATAAAATTTTGTAATTAGTATTTTAATTCAAAATTTTATAAATGATTAATTTGTAAATGTAATAAAATACTAATTATTATTATTATTATTATTATTATTATTATTATTATTTCCTACCATTTAAGTAAGTTCATAAGTTGCATGGAGGTTTTGTTGACTAAATAATTCAGGCCATTTGTAATTGTTATAATATACTAATGATTATTATTTTGGGACCATGCTATTTGTTGTAGTACGCGTAGAACTTGTTACAAATGAGTGACAAATTTCACAAAATATAATAAATAATTGAAACTCGTTATTCCTTCTAATGAGTTTCATACAATTTTCTTCTTGTCCATATGGTGAGTTCTATTCTTTTAATATATTTTATGAAATCCATCACTCTCTCGTAACAAGTTTTATAAGATTTTCAAATACATGCATTTCTTTTTAATAATAATCCAACCACATTATTTCCAAATTTTATTGAAGTTTCAGTTCCTAAAACATGGGAGTATATAAACAATACATTCAATTATAGCAAACCATATAAAGATCCCATATGTAGATGTAATGAAAACAAACCACTTTTTGCGTATAAAACCAAAATTATATCGCCACCACAACAACATTCAATTGAGTCGAGTTAAGTAAAAAAAATTTAAGTTATTCGAATTGATAAGTCTAATTTTATAATTTAAACTTTATTTAACAAAATTTCTAGTCGAGTTGAGTTTATAAAATTTGAGTCGAATTGAATAAAAACTTTAATTTTCGAGTTGAAGAGTCTTATTTTATAATTCAAAATTTATTAAAAAATTTCAAGTCGAGTCGAATAATTTTTTTAAGTTATTTGAGCCGATGAGTCTTATTTTATAATTCAAACTTTACTAAAATTTTCCGAGTCGAGTTTATAAAATTTGAATCAAGTCGAGTTGTTCAAGTTTATGTTTAAATTTAATTGTATATATTTATAATATTATGATACTATTTGATTTTAATTTAAACGGTTTCTATAACAATATACAATGTAAATATATATATATATATATATATATATATATATATATTCATTTTTTATATGTGATATACATATATCGTACATAATTGAAAGACTCTACCTTAACTTGAAAATCATTCTACTAATTACTAAAACTTTCGAGTTATTCGAGTCCTATCTTATAACACAACTCGAATTTAATTTTTTTTTGAGTCAAGTCTAATTTATAAAATTATAAGTCAATTCACTTTAAATCGAGTTAAAAAGATTAATTTTAAATCGTGAAAAATAAAAAATATCAAATTTTCAAGTTTAACTCTACTAATCCATAACCACAACCCTTTCATTTGATATATATATTCCATTCTTTGATATGCTTGTTTACAACTTCAATTTCTTTTTAGAGTTCTTAGTTAGCTCAATCCTTTTTGAGTTAATTTAATAAAAATGATTTGATTTTATATATAAAAATCAAGTTAAAATACACTCTTCTTAGCTTCTTAATATTTTAAATAAATATTTTAGATAATGAATACGAACCAAATAATATTTAATGGTTAAGAGATTCTTATTATCCTTTAAAGTTTAAAGTTCGAGCACCGCATATATAAGAATATAAGTGTTCAGTGTCAAATAATTGATGATTTTTGAATAAATAGTACTTATATTCATCTTAGAATTCTAAAAAATTATTTTAAATAATAAAAAAATATTTTCTAAAAAATAAACTATTAATAATATTAATTTTTATATGTTAATTTTTTAAGAAAATTTACAATATAAATGTACTTATGATTCATGTTCAAGTTCCAATTTAAACTTTAACTCAATTAAGTATAATTTTTTTATTCCAAACTTTCTCCACTTCCATTTCAAAATTTTTAAATTTTTTAAATCGAACTCAACAATATTTTAACTCGAGTCATTTACGGCTCTAATTACTTCAACAACAACACACAGCATCAAAATTTAGCATAACCTAAGACTCATTTCCTACGCGCCTTTTCTTCGCGTGGGAGACAAATTTTCTCACTTCAATGCAATGTACTCGCAAAATATGAGTACTTCGGTAGAAAGGAATGTCATCACACAGTACATCACTCCATCCAACAACAAATATTAAATAAATAAAAAACAAAGAATCTACTCATCACTCCGTTAATGTCATTTTAAAATTTCTCTTATAAAATACACACCAACTATATATTAAATATATACACATTTTTAACCCATTAATAATACAATAAAAAGTTCAGTAAATTAAAAAAAAAAAACTACCCGTCAAGCTACTTAGGTTTATCATATCAAACCCATATTTCCCTATCTTTTATACAATAATGAGATTGGTATTGTTTAGTTTGTAACACCGGCCTCTATGGCACGAGCTCAGGTGTTTTGACATTGCTTCCTATATCAGTCTAGTAAAAAGAAATTAAAATGTCTTATGGTACATCTCCCTCGTAAGAACTTTTTCCCACCAACCTTGATTTACCTCGGCTTGGACCTCCATGTAACTTTCATTTTATTATTTTTATTAGTATCAGTATTCTACGATGAGACCTCCCATCGGAGCTCGGTGAGGAATTCCCTTCCTCCGCTTCGCCGTCCTATAATTCACGGCGGTCGGTGGCGGTGTCGACGGCCTGAAGCTCTTCGGGCTTCCATTGCTCAATGACTCGGCATCGGACCCATCTGTTTCCTTGCACATATTCTTCTTCCTGATGGAGTTCTTTGATGTCCCAACAATCTGAAAGGTTTTAATCACAAGCATGGAATTAGTTCTTTAATTTAGAAATGTATCCTTAGATAAAGTGATCAAACTTAATAAGAAAGAGAATAGTTCGTGATTTCTTCATATGTGTTATTGTAAGCTGATTATCTAGTTGTTGTATATCCAGATAGACAACCAAGCACCAAGGAGTGAAAATTACCTTGCAATCAAGAGAACAGAAGGTGAAGGAATCAAGAAGGCTCCGGTGGCAGACTTGGCAGGTGTTGGTGACACCTTTGCCAGGCCTAGGCTGAGGCCTTTGGTTCAAGAACACGATCCTGGCACTGTTGATAATGTAAGTCTGAATCCCTGTTATGTCCACGAATTTCTGAATTTCTGAAACCCTTATCACATCATGGTATGAAGATCTCCTTATCTGCCACAACAACCCCATCATCTCCAAATCTCACCACAAATCAATGGTACATGACAGTGCTGAAACCAATCCAAATTCATGTAATTTGATTTACCTGGATAGCTCTATGGTCCTTGTGATGAGCAAGGCAAAGAGAACAAAGAGCACCATTCATGCAATCCAGGCAGTACATGTTGCATTCACTCTTGTGAGCATCGGCATGGAGTTTGCATTGAATGAAAAAGCTTGTTTGAAGCAGTGGTCTCAGCCATGGCGGCCACTTCATTTCCTCTTTATCGTCGTCATAATCTGGACCACCTCCACCCTATGATGAAATCCCAGAAAAAGAAAAAAAAACAAATAATCATCATGTCAATGACAATCAAATACTATGAAAATTGAGGAAGATTCAAATATGATTGCTAGGTGGTTTGGAGGGCTAACCATGATTCTTCTGCTTTTTGGTTTGATCTCTCTAACGGTTGATTCTTGATCAATACTGATCATTTGGAGGGGATAAAGAAACTTTCTTGGGAAACTTTTTTTTCTCGAGAAAAAGTGAGAAGAAAGAAAAACAAGTGGGGTTGCTTTGTAGTGGTGAGTGGTGGATGGGGTGCTTATCTTTGGCTTAAAAGTCTTCAACCGAACCTCAATCCGAACGAACCCAAAAACTTAAATAAAACATTAGATGTTTTTATTAACGATTAATTTAATTGATAAGTAGATTAATATTATTTAAGTAGATTTTGAATTCGATTCTTTTATATATATATATAAATTTATTGAGAGACTTATTTATCCAAAATAAATATGTGACGAAGATTGATTTGGATAAATTAAGATGGAATCTTGAAAATCGGAAAAGAAACAATAAAAAACATTAGATGCTTCTGTTTCAATAAACTTCGTCACCTTTTTAAATCTGTTTTTATTTCATTTTCTGGATATAAAATAAACTAAAACTTTTTTTTTTCAAGGAAAATAAATAAAAAGGTCATGTATTTTCACTTGGACAGAATAGAAGAGAGGGAACGTGGAAACCTGGCTCGTTATGATCTCAACACGTGGAAAGAGTTTTGGAATTTGCCACCTAAAAAAATACTTCACCTTTAGAATGCCAAAACAATTACTAGAATATACGGTTAAAAACTTTTAATTGACGCTTTTTTTTAATTGTGGGTTATTCAATAACAAATATTTTAGGGTGAGTTTTGATGGGTGAATCTCAATAGAGAATTTTTATATATATAATAATTCGAACTTAAAATTTTATTTAAACGATATCAATTGATTTACCACTTAAATCAATCTCTTTTTATATCCATCCTTGTTTTAAACACATCTCATCTAAGTAATTGATAAACATTTTAAAACTGAATTTAAATAATAATAAAAAAATACTATATATAATTTTGTTTTTATAGAAAATAGGTTTATGCATGGAGAAATCCAGATCTTACATTATCATAAAATTAAAAATATAAAAATGAAAAGAAAATGTCAAAGTCTAACACTTGGGTGGTACCCTTCATATAAACATTTAACGTTGGGCATTGAAGAAGTAATTATTGGCCATCACAAGTTCTATTTATTCATTGCAAACCACAGTTTTCTAAATAAAGAATTCTGTGTTTTATTTTAATATATTTGTCAATTACTTTCAGCGCTACATGACACTATAATACAATTTTTAATTTATAAATTATTTTTTAAAATAAAAATCAATTTCAATGAAATCGACATAATATATATATATATATATATATATATATAGGGTAAAGTACACAAATGGTCCCTCGACTATAGGATATTATTTTATTAAGTTCATCGACTATTAAAAGTTATAAAATGATCTCCGACTATAGGTTTTTACTTTGTTGAGTCTCTTGACTTTTAAAAATTATAAAATGATCACCCACCTATTCATTATGTTTTAAACTTGTCATTTTTCGTTAAAAATTGACGATCGTCTGAGTTGCACGTTAACTTACTGACTGAGATAAGATAATCGTTTGAGATTATAATATCATATTTTATTATATCTCAGACAGCAGGTTAAATTTCATCTCAGTTTGTTATCAAATTTTTAACGAAAAAAGACGAGTTTGAAATATAATAAATAGTCGGATGACTATTTTGTAACTTTTAATAGTTGATAAATTCAATAAAGCAATTTAGTCCTCAAACTTTTAAACATTTTAATTTCATCTTTAAACTATTAATATATGTTCAATTATGTCCTTCCGTCAACAAAACTGTTAAAATGCCCGTCAAAAAATTCATGTAAGCTTTGATGTAATATATAATTACATGACATGTCATAAATTATTATTAAAGTGGAAAATAAAATAATAATTAACTTTTTAATAAAATAATAGTTAACTTTTTAATAAAATAATAATTAACTTTAAACCCTAGAAAGAATTCTCTCAATTTTGAAAACCCCAACCTACACTAAAAAATTCAATTCTATCAAATCCTTCCTAAAATCATGATAAAGAGAAAATCAGTGGAACAAACAGAAGAGAAACATTTTTCGAGTTAAAGTTGGGACAAGTGTTGGAAAACGATGAGTAAGGAACTGATAATCCATGATTTAGGAGGTAATTATTTTAAAATATTTATTAATATTTTAGGTAATTTTAATTTTTTTTTACTTTATTATTTTTAATGAGTTCAATCTAAATATTTAGGGTTTTATTTATTGCTATCTAGATGTAAGGCTTTATTTGTTAGTATTTAGAATCAATCGATTAAAATTTGAAACAAATTTTCATTAGAAAGAAATATTCTTTTGCATGTTTTTTAAATGAAATTTATTTGTTTAAAATGTTTCAGTATTGAATTTGTTTGTTTACAATATTCAAAAGAACCAATCTGTATTTTAATTTCTTTTTGTGCTTCTATCTCACTTAGTTTAAATAATCATATACATCACCAAACTTTAAAATAAGATAAATAAGCAAGTCGTCACCACTTCACTTTGTTAAAGTATTTATCAGCTCATTATTATTTTTTTAGCTTCTATGTTTACTACTACATTAATGTATATTATGTACTAATAAACTTTTTTTATGTTTTATAATTGATCATGTTAATGAAGCTGGAGCTGGAAATGAAACTATTGTTGATGGCGACCATAGTGAGAGTGATTTTAATGACAGTGATTATGAAATTGAAGAAGATGATGATGTCATGTTTGAGCAAATTGTAAATGTTTTAATTGAGAGGGATGATGAAAATTTAGGATGGGCAGGAAATGAATCAAATAATGTTGTTATTTATTCTTTGGATGATCTTTATAGTATTGTTTATTCTGACAATGAAGTAGTTGATAAACCAAATAAAAAATGGCTCGAGTTTAATTATGTGAATGATCCAGTTTTTTCTGTTAGGATGTTGTTTGTCGATAAAAAGCAATTAAAGGCTGCTGTAAAAAATGCTAGCATTAAGGATAAAGTGAATGTAGTTGCAAGCAAGATGATAAAATAAGGTTTAAGATTGTTTGCAAAGAATGGTGTGATTGGACTTTATACGATAGAAAATTCATTAAAGACCCTGATGACCCAACCTTTCAAATCAGAACATACAAATCAAAACATACTTGTCATAAAGATTACGCAAATGGAAATATGAATTACAATTGATTGTGCAATAAATATATGCATTGTTTTATTGCTAATCCAAATTTCTCGTTATCTTCATTTGAGAGTTTAGTCTACAAGGATTATGTTTTGATTATCCCAAGGTCCAACTTGTTTAGGGCAAAACAACTAGCCTTGAAAACACTTCAAGAAAATTATAATGAGCAGTACTCTAAAATTGGGAGCTATGTTGAAGAGAAGAAACACTAATCTGATTCTAGTGTGCATTGTAAGTTAGATGGTGGTTTGTTCCAAAGAATGTACATCTGTTTCAAAGCATACGTGGTAGAACTAGCTCATTGCAGATGTTTTATTAATATTCATGGTTGTCATCTAATAAGAAAATTTGGAGGACAACTGTTAAGTGATGTTGGTATTAATGGGAATGATTGTATTTTTCCAATAGCATCTTCAGTGGTTGAAAGTGAAAACACAGAAACATGGAAATGGTTCATTCATCTTTTGATTGAAGATATTAACATTCAAGATCAATATTCTTAGATATGGATGTCAGATAGACAAAAAGTATATGCTTTAATTATTAATTCATACGCCAATTGTGATATATAAATCAATTTAGTTATCTAATAATTATTAATTAAATGTAGAATTTAATATATGCACTGGGTACATTGTTTTCAGAAGCAGAGCATAGATTTGTGTCACATTGCATAACAATTTCAAAAATGATGGGTTTTCAAGGTACGCCAATTGTGATATATAAATCAATTTAGTTATCTAATAATTATTAATTAAATGTAGAATTTAATATATGCACTGGGTACATTGTTTTCAGAAGCAGAGCATAGATTTTGTGTCAGACATTTGCATAACAATTTCAAAAATTCGAACATGGTAGAGCTCGAACATAGATTCTATGTGAAAAGGAATGTCGCAGATAAGTTTTCTGGTCCATTATGCCTTAAGATTCAGAAAAAGTTTGATAAGAATAAGGAATTTTCAGGACGCTATTGGCCACAACCGTCAACATTGAAAAATTTAGATAATATGTCATATCAATCAGTTCACATTGGAATTAGATGAGAAGTTATGCAGTTGCAGGAAGTGAGACTTATATGGTATCCCTTGTGTTCATGCAATTTCGGTTATTTGGTTTAACAAAGAGAGCCCAAATATTTATGTAGATGCGTGTTACTCTATTGACACACAAAAGAAAATTTATCAAGAAACCATTAATCCAATCAAAGGAAAAACATCATGGCCAACATCTATGTTCATTCCAAAACCCCCTGTTGAGCAGCCAAAATAACCTGGAAAATCTAAAACGAAGAGGAAGAAGGAACTTGATGAACTAACTTCACAGAAAGAATCTACTAAACTTAGAAAAATTGGAGTTGTCGTGACATGCTCAAAGTGTGGAGTGTGGACAATAAGGACATAACAAGCGGTCTTACAAAGTTATTAGACAGAACAAGAATTTACAACAATCAAGTGATGTAAGTATGTGATGGTTATAATAATTTTTGTTTTATTTAATTACAATACTAATTTCTACTTTAAGGGTGCCTGGAATAGGTGGTTGAGAATATGTTATCTAAGTTTATTGTTTTAGTGTTTAAAGTTATTAAGTTTTTTAAGGGCTTAAGTTAAACAAATTGTTTCAGTGTTTGTAGTTAATAAGTTTTGTTTGTTTTTTTAGGGTTCAAGTTAAATGATCACAAATGCGACATGTATAAATTATCCTTCAATTTATCAAGCAGTCTTGCAGTGATTTTTTGTTGTTAGGGAGATAAGCAGACAATGTTTTCTTATGTTATTTACCAATGGTTGTTTTTATTATATACATACTTATTGTTTAAGTTTAGGTATCGTTTAGATTCAAACATAAATAGTGGTTACTGTTATGATAGTTAAATCAAATATATGTAACCAAATGATAAAATATGATGTTTTGGAATTAAGTATTTTTTCTCATTTCTCTAGTTAACTAGGTAAATGTGGTATGTACTTCTCTAGTTAAATGTGGCATGTTATTTTGTTCTTTTATGAATGGGCAATAGTGTCTAATCCAAAGCAT